TGAAGACCAGAGGTTAAGAGGTCTCTCATAAGGAATTTCAGTCTGTTCTCTGTCGTCGAGGTGGGGGGAGTCAATCCAAAGAGCTCGTGATTGCTATCACTGGTTTCCATGTGATGGTCACGCTGTGCATCTCTTTTGACCATTAATCTTGATTACTTGCCCCCAAAATTGACAATCTCCTTGGAATTGTCAATAAGTGTTCTTTTGGTTAAATGCTGTGAGCTACTCAAAGCTGCTAGTTGGTTCAGGCTTGTGGCGCCAGGATCTGATTTACGAACATCCTGTGTCTTGGGCCTCTGTGGAATTCGGCTCCTCGTGTTTCAACTGTGTTTTTGACTAAATCTTAGATTGTCTGATTCGGTCTGATACCCTACACCAAATACAATCCCATACACATGCTTCAGCACAACCCAGGCTGCCTCAAACTGAGGCTGTGGCATCAAAGAGCTTATGAAAATGTTGGAGCATATGGGCAAAGTGACATGCCTGCCAATTTGACATCCGAAGCTCTAATCTGCTTGCTCCGATCAGGTGATAGGATATTTAGCCAAGACAAACAATCCCGATGAATGATTTGGGCAGCGAGGAGTGGCAGCCAGCGTTCAGATGCAGCATGTGTTTAACAAGCCTGATGTTTTGAGAGCAGAGGACTAAGCCAAACCAATACAAAAAATCACGCATTACAGTAAAAGCGACACGTGCGCTAACACCAAGAGATACACTTACTGCATATCACTGCACATATCTATTAAATGGCTGATTTCTGTGGGTATTTAATCTGGGAGGTGTGTGTGCGTGTTATAAGGACAGGCTAAGTGCTCTGTCTCCTATGAGTCTGAGTAAAGAAGAGAGAACCAGTGCCTCTGTGTGGTGCTGTTTGTCTGTGGAGGTGGGGGGCGGGGGGTGAGTGTTGTTACTGCAGTGTGCATTGACAGGGTAAAGTAGGGCATGGTGGAGGAGCCTGTGGAAAGGGACAGCTGCAATGCAGACAGCCCTGAAGGAGGAGAAAGGGAGCAACAGAGGACCGACACCCCTCTCAGAACCCGGTCTCCATTCAACACAACACCAGTCCATTCACATCTCACAGACAGCACAGCCAACCATGCACTTGTGACTCTCTAGACTTAGACAACTGTGTATAAAACACACACACATCTTTTTTATACACTATTGGCTGTACAAGTAATTTCAAATAAAAAAAAAAAAAATCTTGTCTAGTTGATCTCATATCATAACAAAAAAATTACATTGAAATAAGTTGAGTTAACAAGAAAAACATTGTTGTGGCATATTAATTATATTTACAGTATATATATATGTATATAGTGCAAAATACATTGAATTCGTTTGTATGCACACTTAGACTACTGTAATGACTCAATTGTTTACAGTATACCACACTGTTGTGGTTTTTCAACATTTATGGAGAACTGTTTCTTAATGTATTTTCAATTAGCTCTCTGTTTTATAAACTTAAGTAGCAAAAGGTAGGTTTAGTGGATTAGTGGATAAGAATAAGCTTAACTGAATTAGAGTGAGTCATCAGTTGGTTTGACTTTAAGCACAGCATGAAACACAGCGCTGCCTGGAAATGAGGGTGTTGAAGTATGCAAGGAAATCACAAAGCCATTTTGTAAGTTATTCCCCTCTTAACTCCTACTCTGACTCATGCAATAATGGGTTTTTCAACTGAGTGTGATATTTGGAAGTGTATTTGCACTTAACAGGTTAAGTTGGTCATAATATCAATGAACTTAGTACATACAGTAAGACTATGCTATTAGAAAAAAACAATAAGTTTTAGATAGGAAGTATCTTGCTTGTTAGTCATGTTATGAGTATTTCTACAAGTATATTAAAAAAAAACTGCACAGGCTATATAAGCAGTACAGCTGGGATGTGGCCGACGTGACTGTTGTTTCTCAGAAGAGGGCCATAACTATAATCATACTTAATCTAGTTACTGGATTTTGGGGTTTATACGATTGCCTCTGCACTGACTCTCACTCCTGGCCATTAAACCACAGCCTGGTTTCTATATCGAGCACTAGCTGGAGTCGTTGTGCACTGTAACCATGACCAATATATTGTCTTCTTGCCAGTTCATATTGTCCACCGATTTAAGTGTGTGTCCAAATTACTGTCTAGTTCTTCAGTGGTCAATTGATGTCGCTCTTTGTACATTACCATAGATGAATCAGCATTTCAACATCGGTTTATCACAATGCCTGTAATTTATAGACATGAAAAATAAACAGTCGTTCCAAAAATTATTTGTCTGGCTGCGTACAACTACTGATTCCCAGGTTAATTTTCTGTAACGCAACGTTAAATATTTATGGGGAAATTGATTGAAAAACTGAGGAAAAAGTAGAGTAGTAATTATAAATAGAAAGACAGTGTCACATGCTGTCTTTCCCATTAATAATATCTGCGTTTGCCTTTTTTTTTTTTTTTTTTTTTTTTT